CATGACGACAGAAAAGATAACTAGAAGGATTAGCGTAAGAATATTAAAGGGGGCCTGTATTGTTTTGTTATAGATGGGATCAAAGAAGACATCCTTGTAGTCTAATTCTCCAAGCATCATGTCGAAAACTTTGAGGAAAGAATATGCTACAGTGCTGAAATATTTCTGTCGTAGAAGCCAAAGAGGTCGATTAGTTACATGGAATGGATTACAGCTTGTAGCTTACTCAAATGGTTAATCTTTTTGTTTTCTATTATAAATGAACGCATTAATTTACCTCATGACCCATCATAACATAAAAGCTGAGACCAAATGCAACGATAAGGAATGCTAGCATTAGACCGACCTGGCGATAATTAGAAAATTTGCATAAATAGAATACTTAGTTAAGAGAATGTAGATTATAATAATATGCTTTTTATCAGTATAAAATTAATCCTTAATAGATTATTTTTTGAGGTTCATTAAATGCTACAGAATCAAAACAATATCGATATTTTATCATTTTACCTTAGCAATAGTAAGCAAAACTGATCGAAGCATGGCAACATAAATACCAAAAGTAGGCAACCTAGGTCCAATAAAATATTGAATTAACACTTTAATTTTGATTACCATCTTTATAGACACATATTATAATGAAATCTCGCTATATTAGTCTAGGAATATTACAGCATTATAATTTAAAGGTATTAACAGTATTTAATCATCTATTTTTCAGATATTCATTATTCCATATATATAGCCATTATCATTATAAAAACAGATTCTACTTTTTGTCGTTAATTACTAAAAAGTAGATATAGATATTGTTCTACTAGATCTTTAACAAGATTGCTATCATGCTTAGATTAAGAATAAATAGTATTTAAATATTTCTCACGTAATAGTACCGTAATGGTAAGATAAAATAAATTTCGACTGTAAACAATTTTGATCTATTTACATTTACGAAAATATGCTATTTCTTTGACAGAATCTATCATTTCAATATTTACCGTTGAAGAAAAACTACTAAATTGCACCAGGTTAGGCAGATATTAATGCTGCCTAACGCCCATTGATCGGTGCTAGGCTCATATCCAGGTGGAACAGAAAAGGTGATAGCAGAAATATACATAAATAATTCAATGTAATTGGTATAGTATAGGAAGTAGGACAATCCCTGCCAAGTAAAATGAAAAATTAAAGTTAATCAAATCTAACTTTTTGATATTTTTTCATGACGGTAGAATAAAATTTAGAGAACGTTGCCAGCGATTACAAATAAGCATATATCTATGCGCTGACTATTATCAGTCAATCAGTAATTTATTCTCTTCAATTAGATTCTCGCCAGTACAAATTCCTTAGGTAAAAATATGAGTAATGAATTAAGCATGCATATACCTGACGCAACATTTGGAGGATTTCCGTTCCTAAATTAATCACACTAGCGGCAAGGATAATCAGTTGAGTAATGAACAAGTCCGGCCGTGAAGACTAAAGCAATGTTACGAGATAACATGATTCACTGATAGCAATATTTATAATGTAATCCATTTCATATTTAATTAATCTTAATAAATTAGCTTTGATCAAGGCAAGATGCCAATAAAAATTATAAAAAATCGTCTAAATAGTCTGAAGCAATGAACGTACGACTGTATAATAATAGTCAGTCTTTGTCTGATTTTCGCTTGTATAGGTATATGGAGTGAAACCAGAAATGTTTGTCTCATAAAAACTAGATGAAACAATATTGCCAGGTGGACGTAGAGCGACAGTATAGTAGGTTAAAGCAGCCACAAATAAGAGATAAAGAATCAGATTGCCAAAATAAAGTGGAATACCAAATGTACGCCTATGCATTGGGACAGAATAAAATAAAATAATACAGAACAGTTCCATTATAAGGACTAAAACTTACAAAAGCCTTTCTTAAAATATTTAAACCGATTTTACAAAGTTTATCCTTAAAACTAACATCGAGATCCAATACAGTTGGACCTTGTCATTACTTAACTCTACTTGCAATTTACAAGAGTTTTGGCACGAAATTAGCTGAGAACTACTACTGCGACTACAAACCATTTAGCATCAAGTAAAGCCTGAGATAATTCATGGAGCAGTAATTCTGTTCTTTCGTGTTTAAGCATAGTCTATTTATCGATAATTGTAGATAAATAAGGGCTTAATGTCAAACAGAACATATTGGTGTCTAAATATTTAATCAACTATATTAGAAACCTTAAAATCAGATTTAGCAATATTCTTACCATTAATGCACTACATTTACATTGATTTTTTGAGCTCTCTCTTAAACGCATTTCTACCATGGGCCCAGGATCTAGTATTGAGTAGTCATATACAATCTAAAGAATGAGGTAAAAGATCGAGAAAAGTAAAACTAAAACAATCAAATAGCTTTGCAGCTAAAAATCAGTAATGACCTTCATCCCTACTAGATTGATTATTCCATTTCTTGTCAACTATGATTGCATTACATTATCATTCATTTATAAATCTTAGATAGTAAACACAAACAAGGAAAGAAGTACTCATCTATCTTTTGAAAACTCTTATAGCAATATTGAACTAAATTAATCCTATCGGTATTGTTTACAAATGTTTATATCACAAGTGGGTTCGAATAAGGTTTCAACTTTAAGTAAATGGATTCGGATGATACTTTAAATCTATTTTAGCGATTTTGGCAATTTTAGTTAAAATTCTATATATAACAGACTCGTTATAAGATAATGTGATGCTGCACCGTTTGAACTGAGATTTTATCATTACTATTATACTTTAATAACCATATTTCTAAAATCAACTCGTCAATACAAATTGGCAATCTCTCGTTAGACTTTGACTGGATTCGGCGAATAAATATAGAAAAACACAAACCGTTTTATCTATACTTTCACTGGTACTACTTGCAATAGATAAGTCCATCACGCCCTGTCAGGGAACAAAAATAAGGATGAAATCGATCAAACAAAACAGTGTTGTCCGGATATAAATGACAAAAATCTTACTTTTGCAACGGTTGGCAGTTTCTCAATTAAGTTTTGCATCACGGAAAACCCCTTATCATCAAATCGATTTAAAATCTCTCTGCTCCTAATAAGATATACCGATACCATAGACAGTTAGGAAAAGCAGGATTAACCATTGAAAACTTTGAAAGATAACTAATAGGATTATCTTCACTTTATTTTTATTATAACAATTTGTCTATTATTCTATGATTTAGCTACATACAGGAACACATTACCTCTTATGCTTAACAATTAATAGAGCAGCATCTTCGTGTCCACCTTCAATCGCTAGATCTAAGCAGGTCTTTCCTTTATTATTGCACATCGTTATATCGCTACCTCTTTCTAGTAATAATTTAACAACAGCACTTGATCCTTGACTGGCTGCTAAATGTAGAGGTGATTCCTAAATTGGATCCATATCAAAACAAATTTGTTCACTATTGCCTGATACAGCAAAGTAATTGGTTCAAGAGCTATGTAACAGTTGAATCCTTGTAATACTTAACAATTTGAAAACCAAGATAGATTGCTAGGTATTAGCCGATTTATACAGCATCAAAATCACATATCTTATTGCACAAATCTAATCTTATAGCTAAACAATACTTCAAAAGTGCATAATATTACCGATCTAGAATTAATTCGATTGAGATCAGCTCCATTTTTCAGCAGCAATTTTCCTATTTGAGCAAAACCTTTAGATGCAGCATATTCTAAAGGTGTCATATAACTGCCGTCTCTGCAAACAATTATTATTTATGTTATTATGATAATATTAATGTAGCAGGTAATATTAAACTCTATCATAATCTATAGTATTTCAGTAATGCAAAATTTTACTATCCATTATATCTAGCAATCATTATTCCTGATGCAATAAAATTATTCATTTTTTTACCTTTTCTCAACATCTGCACCGTACTTTAACAGCATTGCGGTGACATCTTCCGCATTATTTATAACTGCAAAATGTAAAGGAGTTCTTGATTTCTCTCCCAAATAATTAACGGATGATAGGGAAGCTTCACATAAATACTCAGCTATAAGTAGATCGCCTTTCCTGTAAGACAAAAGGAGATGAATTTAAAATCATTTTTCAATACCAGACAATAAAATAGTATTTCGATTTAAGATTATTGTATTATTTGCATCTTATGAAATCATTACTTATTGCATAGCAGACATCAATCTCATATACGAGATATAACATATACCAGATAATATTGGCTGCAACAGCTGCTACATAAGATTGATTAAAACTATTAGATATTGTATAGTATACGGTATAGCAATTTGATATACATTAGAGAATATCCACTACGTTAGTCTCAACAGATAACATAATGCCTCGCTAATATAGCTCTGTTCGATATCAAAATATATATTGATTTCATTAAATAACTTTGCAAGCAAATAACCCTGATAATCCAAACTATAATATCTAAATCTATACTGGTGAAGACTTATTTTATACTAGATATTATACCCACAAATACCCTGAAAACAGCTTCAACAATGTCCAATTTAAGATGTTACTTAGCTAAACATTCGGAAAAGTTACCTATTTTAAACTGTTAAATGAAATTGGAATAACCATTTGACTTACACGCAAGCCATATGAAGTGGTATATTATCATCGTCATCGTGGCAGTCAACAATTGCACCGTTGCTAACTAGTAACTCAACAATCTAATAAAGTAAACACATCAAATATCATTTGAGTCTTTCAAAAGTTTGTAATTGGGATTTATACTATTGTAGGGTATAGATTCTATTTCTGATATAATATGAGCTAAAAGATTTCGTTAACCTGATGATTTCCACTTTGCACTGCATAATGCAAAGGTGTTTTTTCAAAGTTATCAGCTAAATTTAAAAATTTACCAGCATATATCTGCAAGTTTACGAGAAAAATTTTTCGGTTATAAAACGATCAAGTAACAAATGAGATGATAATTTAATCTATTAGCAAAATTATTCCATAAATTGAGTAAGAATTATGTTTGATTTGTAACTTACTCGTAATAAGTGTTGAATTAATTGTAAATGACCATTTCGAACAGCGAGATGAAGACAAGTTCGCTGTACTTCATCTACGGCAGAAATATCAGCATTATGTCGGAGTAAATAGTCGATCACTTTAATATGGCCTTTAGCTGCAGCATACATCAGCGCTGTTTTCTTAGTATAGTCAACGGCATCAATATCAGAACCCTATAATAGAACAATAAATATTACAGTCAGCATGAAATGACTCTTTTGAATAGGTTATACTAATTGTCATTTAGGATAAAATATGTAACCACAAATATACTAATTACTTTATTTAATTAAGTTCTTTTCGTACTATTAAATTGATTATTCCAGAAGAAACAAGCACGTAAATATTAATATTCTCCTTATAAACATTTATTTGTGAATTCAGCGCCTTAACTAATTTGGTTCGTGGCAAGATTATTTTGGACTAATAGAATGATTGAGCATATACAATCAAAATGGTGTAGGAAGTTAATCCAAAGTAGATATGCAAGGACAATTGGATATACATTTTCTACTAGTGAATATAAATATTTAGATGATTCAATGTAATATTACTAGATTGGCAAATGTTTAAGATTTACAATCGCTAATCTCAACTTAGGCTAAAACGAAAATATCTATTCTGTAATGCAATATAGAGATCAATGCCAGACTAATCATTTTTCATAAAGAAAGGCTTAGCTAATTTTACCATACTTACAGAATCTACTAGTAATTCCATAATAGGTAAATGACCATATAAGCTTGCAAGGAAAAATGGTGTTCTGTACTGATAGTTGTTGATATTTATCGAAGCTCCTTTATCAACCAGCAATTTAGTAGCCTCATAGTAACCATTAGCTGCTGTAATATGTAAAGCGGTCCCTCCACCGTTCTATAGTGTCACGCAGAGACATTAATAAGATTACAATAACGATTCAAAAAGTAAATAAACAATTTTAAAATTTGCTAATTTATTTATGATAGAGGAAAGTGTTGACAATTTCTGCATTTACGAGCAATGGCTAACAGAATACTTCTTAACAAAAGCAAAAGAAATTATTTTCACTCTATCAGTTCTTTATACTAGAATAGAGTTGACATTCGTTCCATTCTCTAAGCAAATTTCCATTGCCTAGCAAAAAATATAAGATTCGCAGATAGATTAAGGAGTTCGTAAAGTATTCGCACATTTTTAAGTAATGTATAGACATAATTTTACGTGATTAAAGCAGTAGTCACGATTAAATGATATAATATAATTGTAGGCAAACTTCAGCTTTTATTAATTTCTTTCTCTAGATACGAGTATAATTTTTCCTGTTATCACCTTGACATGACCACCTTGTGCTGCGCGATGGAATGGCAGTTGCTTTTCGTTGTCTTCGCATTTAAGAAGATTAGTAGCAGATAATCCGTAGCTAGTGGAAGCTTTCAAGAATAATTCAATAACTTGCACATGACCTTTGGATGCCGCAGTATGGATTGGCATACTACCATCGATTGCGGGAGCTAACAAGTCACCATTATGTTTAAGCTATAAAAGCAAATATGCTAGCATTAAGATTTACTTGACTAACCCTACATTACAGCAAGATAAATCTTTACAAGGAATACTGTTATTAAAATTTTAATTTCAGCTCTTTCATTACTGAATGATTCTGACATTACTAACATGAGCTAGTAAACAGTATAACTGTTAATTACTACTTATCAATGCCATGATCAAGCTAGTCGGCTTACAAGATGTTGACACACTTTAAGTTTTCCTCTCATAGCAGCTAGATGTAATGGTGTATTCAAATCATCATCCACGACGTTGACATCAAGTAGCTTATTCTCAGTAATATACTAACGTAAGCAATACAATTTAGGCATCATCATTAATCTCTCAATATTTCAAAAAAGATTTAACATAGCACCAAAATAAATTATTTGAACTGTTACCGTGATAGAAGCAATAATACTAAAAATACAAGTAAATATGTATATTTTTATTAAGGTTGTAATATACTTATTAGTTACCTTACATATCTTTAAATGGCCTAGTTTACTGGCTTCATGAAGCAGAGTAGAACTTTGATCATCGATTAATTTAACTTCAGCACCGGCCTCATGCAAAACTAGAAAACTAGCCAAGCTGTTATATTTAACGGCCACAAATAAAGGTGTATTGCCATCATAACCTCGAATATTGACGTCTAGTGGTGGTACAACACAAACACAAAATGAATCTTAACTAGAAAAAATCAAAGGTTAAATATGCATAACTTCTTTATCTGAGTCAACTAAAGCGCCAATTACAGCAATTTTATCGCCACCGTTAATCATCCTATAAATTACGCATCTCAATTGCATTGAATTGTAGATTAGAAAAAACAGAATGAATGATGTAAAATCATATACCTGCACCACAAGAGATTAACGTCTTGACTACATCGACGCGATTACTACGCACAGCATAGTGCAATGGGGACAGCTGATGTTCATCTAAATTATTGCAAATATTTTTTTCATCTTGATGTGAAGCGAAATGATTTTCTACTGCAGTGATATCTCCAAACTTTGCAGCCTAAGCATGATAAAGTAATATCATCCAATACTAATTAAGAATAGAATGTAATCTATAACGACAGCTACGGTACTGCTTACAAATCAAACTATTAAATATCTTGACGAAGGAAAGCAGGGCGTTTACAAGCATAGCTATTGCTAATTAGTGTTACGATGATGAAATTATTAAATCGGTAGACGAGATCAAGTTAATCCAATAAACTGAATTGCAACACTTCTTTTGGAGAAAATTCAATATTATATTAGTACTGTATACGAGTACCGTACTTACCCAAAAGAGATCTTTTAAATATTCATTATCGGCACGGTTTATGCTATTGACTTGATCCTAAATAGTAAATATTAAAAAGAAAGCGTTATACAAGAGAGTCTTTTAGGCTTATAAACAACTTGAAAAGTTCATGCTCATTAGGTACCAGTAGCAAAATATTGTCATTTGATAAGCTAGTTTTTGATTACTGACACTAAAGATAAAGTAAAATTTGAACCGCTTACGTAAACTATAAAAAATTTATAACTGAAAGATATGTGATAAGATTGTAATCAACTGAAAATAGCCAATTTTATAACTTAATACTAACATAAAAGTAAAATTCCTGATTAAAAGAAAAGGGATACGATCGAAGCAACTGAAAATAGCCAATTTCATAATGGAATACAAACGTAAAAGTAAATCACAAGCTATGATGCTGCATTTCGCTGACGCTTATTACAATAGCATTTCAACGAAGGTAATCTCGTTCATGTTGCATCATTTAAATATCTTTACCAATTCTCTTATATCAATTTCCAGAGGCCGCTGAGATGTCAGTCGTCTGAGAAATAGATTCATTATGTTGATTGATTGTAATTTTTCAAGTTGGCTAGAATGAGTTGAACCAGTGTTGGTCAATAATTTTCTGAAGACATGAATCGAATCGCGCGTTCAATTTCACCGTCAGTTTCGTTTAAAGTCGGGGTAACTTATAATCGAAACGATCGTAAATAAAGTTTCGCTCAATTTGACTCAATTCTTTTTCTTTTTATCTTTTCGAGTTTAAACTATAATTGTTGATGATGTTTTTCGACAGTAGTATTAGTGCTATATGACTACGTAAGATTGGCAATTAATGAATTCAATTGTAATACTGTAGCGGTTTATTACGCTATGCGACGGTACAGACGTAGTCATGGACTAATTAAACACGGGTTGTTTAGTAGTTTATGACACAGTATGGAAGCAAATGATTAATAAATATGTTTATAACGAAAGAACTACTAGATACACATCCGGTTATCCATGTTATTACCAATTAACATTTAGCCAGGGCATAAATATGAATGAATCAATCAATAATTTGGCAGTAGGCAGTCTGTCCATGACCAACTGTTGATTACTAAAATGTGAACACCAGACTTAAACCGAACACTAACTAACAGTGCCGTAGTTAACAGTCCCCTTACTTTCTTATTTTAGCAGTATTTAGTTAGTACTTACTAACTATAGCCAGGTTCGCAGATCACTCACAGAGCGTAGCTAAATTATTACTTGATTATTATACCAACTATTTGGAGTGGTGAAAAACACATTCCGAGGCCCTATCTCCAAGAAAGAAAATAATCAACCCAAATATTTTAAAGTGTTTCTACTATTATTTCCGGTCTTGAATGGATTGAATATCGAATTTGGCTAATATATAGCGGACAAGATATCCTGATAAGAGAAAATACGGACTGATCTGTAGAGGTAAAAGCTCTTTATCTGATGTATCTTAAAGCATTGGTTAAAGATAATAATTGTACAGTAGCAATGCATTGCAAACAGAGGTACAGTAAAAGAAAAGGCTTCAACTTTGCAAGCAGACATCTCTCCTTTGCTTCTATAACCAATATACTATATAAAAAATGTAGCAAAGATGCAGCACACTATACTATACTAATGCTACTGTACTGTAAAAAAAATTATAAAAGTCCTTTTACTGTACAATATACATATTGTATTAAAATAGCCAGATCTAGTATACAATCATGCATTTTGATAGACATATTCTCTATTATCTGCCTGCCTTACTTCCTCATTTCTATTCTCATGCTTATAAATGTTTTTTACACACTCTATCAAATGTATGGTTATTTTTCCATTTTTCAAGCAATAACAATAGTCTTACAAGTAATAGGACAACAAGTGCACTTGTCAGCACGTTGCTATGGCGTACGGTGATAATAGTAGGGGTAAAGATGGCAAACCTTAAAAATGGTGCCAGTGAACAACAGTTTCATTTCTAATCAGAGGTTCAACGAAGGTTAATTTTTGGAAATCTCCTTCAAGATTTTTTATTTTAACAATTATTGTAGCTTTAAAAGTAATAGATTGAATTTGGTTACAATTGATTTCACTTCGCATCTTAGTACCCGTGTACGCATATTGAGAACCCGGCTACGGTATTAAAATTACTATGAATAAAAGCTATAGATCTTGATTAAATCTAGGCGACAAAAAATCTCTATTAATTTTGTAACAGTAAAATCATGTAAATTGCATACTGTACAATGCATAAAATTATTACAATTTTCAATTCACTTAGTAATTGACGTAATTATCTATTTTGCACTTGTCTATCTAATAGAATAAGTTGATATTTTAATTTATAATGTTACTGGTCTGAGCGGAGCAGCTCCTTGTTCTAAATTGACTAGTTCTTCTTTACTTCATACCAGCAATAAATTGCTAATTTGGTAGTATAATTGTACCGACTATTCGGAGTAACGAAAAGCCCATCTCGAGATGCAATCTCAAGGAGCGACCGCTATCAATTCAATATTTTAAAGTATTATTACCCTTATTTTTGGTCTTTTGCTACTAGTATAACGACTGATTGACGATCAAATTCGGCTAATATCCGGCGAACAAGATTTTCTATTCAGGGTACTGTAAAAACTCTTTATTTTGATGTATCCCAAATTTATGGCCCCCATCAAGTCCTAATTAATTATAAAATTATAATATCTATAACTAATCATAAAATTATATAATTTAAGACAATACAATCTCTATACGGCATAATAAATTGGTTAGCCACACGCAATACCCATGCATTGCCCATTGCATGCAGAGCTAAAACATACAGGCTTCGGTTTGGCAAAGAATGATTTTTAATTTTACTCCAATAACCCACTACTGTATGTTTTAGTAACTTACAGTCTTCTACTACGGATACGAAAGGTGCAGTAAAGATTGAGCACACTGCAAAGAATAATTTTCCTTATATTCTAATAGCCTACTACTGTATTTTGTAGTACGTATATTCCTGTTCTAGGTAGATGAAAGATATAGTAAAGATGAAGAATACTGCGTTTGAGTATACTGTTATGTAAGGCTTAATGTAACATATGCTGCTGTTCTACCTGCAGTCTACTCCACTGCATCAGCCAAAGCTTGTAAGCAGTCTCTCTACAGTATTGTCTTAAAAATTGCAATGACTGGGTCTAGTAAGATATTTTCTACATCAGTCTACCTTAGTTCCTCATCTCCATTCTTATTCTAATAAATTTTCTCATGTCCTTTCTCATACGTATCGTTATCTTTCCATTTTTTGAGAACAATAATATTAAAAGTGATATTATAATAACAAGGATACTAGTCAGTTTATTGCTATACCAGTAATAGTCGTTGCTAGTTCTCTTTAATTAATAATGTTACAATATTTAAAGCGCTATAAATTGAAGCTATGAAACTTGAGTAGGTCTTGGTGAAGAAATTTTCCATCAATCTTGTAACAGTAAATCGTGAAAATGAAATTACTACAACATGATACAATATTCTTCTTGATTATTATAATTAATACAAATGATAGAGAAGAGTTTAAAAGCCCAATTAACCCTTATTCTAAATCTGAACAGTTACAAGTATTTACGAAACGGAAGCTTTTTATTAACAGTAACAAAATGCTGATAATAGATACATGATAGGTTAGTGGAATAGTATCGGTAATGCTACTTTACTAGATGCTCCAATAATTTATGCATCATTAGGGTCAGAGAATTGAGCAAATAGAATTGTCCTTTCGCTGTCATTCAGAATTGCATCGAGTAACTACGGATTATTTGAGCTATGTTGAATAATTTTACACTACTCCCATACATAAAAAATTATTCCAATACAAGAATATAAATAGATTTAATGAGTAGATTTTAAAAGACATTTACGGACGATAACATAAATCGCAATCTTGAACTGATGCTTGTCAATGGAATAAATTATGCCAATATCGAGTACGCAATAATAGTTATAAAATAATCATGTTGAAATAATAGCCAATCACACTTTATATTATGTACGGATAATAATCTTACTAAGCAACTTTAAATATGGACAACTTAGTAATCATTTATTCATTCTATATTCGATGATATAAAATTTAATTGCGATGATATTATATCATGAAAATGAGCTAGGACTCTAATGATAATCTGTAAAGTAAAGTATTCAATACACTAGCATCAATTTCAAAATTAAGTTACATGTCGATAAATTTGAACGATGAATATTTGATGATACGATGTTTTCATCAAATTAAAAGAATAAATTTCTTTAATACTAAGATGATCTCATATCTTCATCACTTGATTTTATCATAAATAATACTGTAGATATCTATGACATAAAATTATATTTTTATCGCTTAATGGATAGTGCCAAATGCTTATATCTTACGTGTTATAACCATTATAATCAACCCAATTTTCACACCGTGTCGACATTAAAAGGAACTTGGTTGTTGCTCGCTCTTATTGTGCATGCTATAAATTAATTTTCCCAATTCATCTACGCAGCTTATTAGGCGATTCAATCTAGATTTAAAAATTGACTGATTAGCTACTCTTGTGTTACGAAGATAGAATAAAAGATTAATTATTTAAATAGTCCTAAGAAAGTGATACATCAGCTATTTTTGTGGTAATAAGATGAACTTAATGACATAACATCAACATACGCAAAGATATTTAAACGTAAAAGAATTGTTTACTAGAATAAAAATTAATTACTTTTCATCTTGGTGTTTTAATTGGTCTTTCACTTCTTCAATCTCATTCTGAGTGTTATTGTCTTCATCTTCTACTTCGACTACATCTTGCGCTTGTTTAAAGTAAGTTTTCAGCTATATTAATAGAGTAAAATACTGGTCAATGATTTTTCCCAACAAACGAAACAACAATTTGCTTAACAAAATATTGAGTCTATTTAACCTCTTTAATCGTATCTTAAGACTGGAAATATACATGTAAGACAGTTTGCAAGTAGCTGTGACTAGGACTTCTAGTAACAATGCTACTATGTACAAGTGATCAAATTTGCTAGTACAGGTCCTGCTAATTAACCGTTACATACGCTGATTATATGACTGTAACTACAAGGCTGTTAAAATAATGCTGTTTACTAAGAAGGTTTCAATAATAAATTTATTCAGTTTTCAGTTCATAGAGCTATTAGAGATATAATGTGGTTTATTTTAGTTAAACATACCCCAAACAGCAATTGATCGTAACTTTATACATAGAACTACTTTATTATTCGGTAGTGTAGTACTACCGTAACTACGATACTTTTTACGCACAGCCCATCAAAGACAGTCAAACTCATTGGAACCGGAATATAATAATTATATGTCTACATACTTAACTTACAGCCATACTTGTGACGTTATCCAGACTAACTAACCTTCATTTGAAAGCCTAGCTCTTTCTTTTCCTCTTGACTGTAGTAAAGCCTTTCCCTTATTATGGAGGGTAATTCTCTTTCAATCTGATCAAGAAATTCCACTTGAACTTTAATCCGACTTAGGACAGCATTACGCTCAATTTTATCGATATCGCCAACGGCTAAACCAACCTATACCACAAATAATTTTGCTATTAAATTCGTTTATAAAAGAATGTTTCGTTATTGTTTTAATAACATATGAAATAGTAAACTAATTATTGTGATAATAGATAATATACGCTCAATATAAATATCATATAAAAGTAATTAAGGTTACCGTTAAATTGATAGCAACGATAGGTAAGAAAGTGGTACAAGTAAGAAAAATTATGATAGCAAGAATATCAAATGGATAACGAGTTCTTTTTTCATAGATTGGTGTGAAGAACATATCATTGTAATCCAATTCCCCAACCATCATGTCAAAAGTCTTAAGGATTGAATATAATCCGCTACTGAATGCTTTCTGTGTCATTAAAGTTTGTAAGAATGTCAAATTAGCATTTTATTTGTTATTATAAAAGAATCCATGATAGCAAAGGATAGGCGTTAATTAAATGAATCATAATTTGATGACTAATCCTTCAGTATCTAATTTTTTGGTGAAAAAGCAGAATAACCTCATGACCCAAAATAATATAAAAGCTCAATCCAAATGCAACGATAAGAAAAACCAGTAACGCTCCGACCTAGACAGAGAATATGAGTGATTGGAGGATTGATAAAATTGAAAATTGAATTGTTTAAGACTTGAAATTTTTCTAATTTTGTAGTTATGATTAATAGATGCATTTTTTGCGTAATGTAATCCGAATCTAATCAAGTTAATATATGATGATATCAAATAGTAACTTAAAATAATCGAAGCCGATATTGTTAAATTTTAGTTTACCTTGAAAAATGTCAATGAAACAGATCGAAACATTGCAACATAAATACCAATTGTAGGTAAGCTAAAGAAGTTCAAAGGAAATATTAATACATGTTATAACTCAGCGATAATTTATCTCAGTCTTATCGAGCGGATAAATTTACTATCATCGCAATCAGTGAGCTTAGAAAGAAAATGCATAAATTCAACCTGCAGCCAAAAATAAGATTATCTGACACATATTTATTGTTTATTCGAACTTAAAATTTATTTCACTTATTAATTGCTTATAACATCTCTATATTTATTGAATATGATCACAACAGTATTATGGCTTACTTCTGAAGATAATCTAATAGATTAAACCAAGCTAGCAATATGGTAATACTACCGACAGCCCATTGTCCAGGAAGTGGTTCCTGTCCAGGTGGCACAACAAATGCAATTGCTGAGACATAAAGAGCCATTTGGATGAAGTTGCTGATGGAAAAAAAGTATTGAAGCCTCTGCAAGATTTAAAAGTGTAAAATAAATAAAAAATTTTATCTTCACATACAGATCTTTCTATGTATAGTAAGTATAATAAAGTCATATCATAAAGAGACTATCTAATGGATCTGAATTAGTCTTGGCCCCAGACTCTCTAAAAAGTAAATTCCATTTATGAAAGAATTGCTTAAGCTACCTATCACTTTTTCTTTCTTTATTTAATATGAATTTAATTAATTCATTGCAGAAATTTAAGGTAACAGCTTTAAAATATAACATCTAGGCTAATTTAAGTATATATTAGCAGTAAATTATGATGCATTAATATCCATTTAAACTACATTCAAGGCATTCTACCTTTCGTAGCATTTGAAAGATTTGCAAGAGTATATTAACGCAGGTAAAGATAAGGATCACGACTTCTGCTATAAAAGGACCTGGATTTTCTTGCTAAAATATATCCAATACGAAATCAGGCATTAAATGACAGATCATGGTGATTCTATCCATAAATAGTTGTAATATGCTTATGTTCCTAATTAATTTAATACAATTTAATAGTTCTTCGAAGCTATTTGCAATCTGTATGTGATTAAATGATGGAAATTAAGATTTAATTTGTCTTTATGAAATAATATATATGAAAGAGATTGCTACATAAAATTCGTATCTACTAGAATACGCTTATTCTTTTAATTACTCTAAAGTACAACAAAAATTTTAAGCTTAAATAAAAAATCGGAATTTTATGAACTGCATCAGAAATAATGTTAATGGTAAACGTTCATTACCTACTGTACTATTACTGTAGCATTCATTTTATAGAACACTGTTAAGTCTTACACAAGCTGAGTATTACTTTATCGTTAGCTTAGCAATTGCAATATTGAATAGATATTTTGTTCCCTATTAGGTCAGAAATTCAGGGTTTTAGATTAAAGATTGATGTAAAATCAATCCAATTTCCACAATTTAAAATGAATTCGATTTGGTGATGGCAGCCTTAATTACTAATGTAACTCTCCCAATTAGTCTATTCTATAAACTTAATCAATTTAAGAATCGAATAAATTGTTTTTGTATTTGCTTGCATGAATTAATTCATGCGATCAAGCAATTAATTAGGTATGGAAATTAATCTCAGATTTCCGCTTTGAAAGGTAGATAAACTATGATCTCTGCAATGGAACATAGTTAATACACTGCGCAAATATGGTAACAGCAAATTTAACATCTTTGCAAATTAAAAACTAATTTCAGTCTAAATGGCACCGTCATGATGCCTATTAATAAACAATAGCATGTAATGATTTCTTTTACTCTTACAATCTTTGAGGTACTCGATGTAGTTGTTAAATTTAGACTTGACGAATTTGAGATTGTGGCAGTAGACTTTACAATATTACCAGGCGGACGTAATGCGACAGTAAAATACGTTAAAGCACCAAGAAAGAGCAAATAGAGAAATAGATTGCCAAAATAAAAAAGAGCACCAAATGATTGCCTGCAGGTAAGACGGTAATAAATTGCAATTAATAATTGCCCATTGGCTTTTAGAATACTACACTGTTGTATACTTAAAATTCATCATGCTTATTAAACTCATTTGATAGGCATTTGGCGATCCGGTGCTCGTAATGTATTTACATTTGATTATTCTGTACTTGTATTATTGCTTATTAATCTTTTTATTCTAAAGTTTACATTAAACTCTCATCTAGTTTAATATTCAGAAAGAAGAAAGATCAGAACGTATTTGTTCATGCTATGGTTTGCAGTATATTAAATATCGAATTTTAAGATTTGACTGTAAAATATATTAAGCCCGATCCCTTCTCCCTTACGCTCACTAAACTATTTTACAAGCATGTTATAAAGAAGTACAAAAAATTAAATTTATGTATAATGCTCCATAAAACTACAGAATCTACTTTATATAGCAATAACATAAATACTATCCAATTTTTATCGTTGTATTGAATAATAAACCTACCATTTGGCATCTATCAGAGCTAAAGGTAATTCGTGCAACAGCATCCCTGTTCTTTTATAGGCAAGCATAGTCTATTTAAATTAAAATTGAAATATGGAGTTATACCTTAATCATTCATCCGACTTAATTTAGTCTCCATATTATAAAGGAAAATAAATTTAAATCTTACCAGTAAGGCATTACATTTGGTATTGGATTTTTGCTCAGCAATGAGACGAGCTTCCACCTTTGGTCCGGGATCCAACAAGGAATAATCATATACCGCCTAAAATTTATTATTATAGATTAATACTCGGCACTTTTCATCGTGTAGCATGTGTAAATGCAACCATGAAATTATAATGTCCTCAATAAAGTAAGCAGTCAATTAATTCTTGTTCTAAAGGATGAGAAGCCATAAATATAGTTACATAAAATTTATGTTATTACTTCTTGATTGATGTCTAAAATTCGATCTAATAAATATATTTATAGGCTATTATTGCTATTGGCACCTAAAGATGATGATTTTCGGAATGTACAATCAAGGATAAGATTTTATAAAGAAGAGCTCGATTAGATTTGCAATGGCTGTGGTTGTATAGAAATGGTAGTGACACTTTTAATTTGCTACTAAGTACAGAAGACATCACGCTATGATAATTTGACGTAGTTGTATTTTATAAGCATAAACAATATTCAACAGTATCCATTTATCGACTGTAATATAAGATGATTATCGTCTTTAGCATTCAGACGAAATTAGCTGGGATCTCAAATTGTGTGGTAGTCTACTGAAATAGTGACGGTTCCTTTAATTAACATTATCACATGCAACATAAAATTGCGTAAGGAAAATCTTCAATTTTATACCATTTTGTCCATGTCATCATTCGTACTTCGTGCAATAGATATGTTTAGCACTTCCTACTCATAGAAAAGGATAGATCAATTATTTACTTATCTTAAAGTGACTTAGACTGACACTTATCTTAACAGAAATGCTTCATGATGCGCAATAGAAGAAACCCTACCGAAGCAACATTGGGCAATTTCTCAATTAGAGCCTGCATAACGGTAAAGCCATTGCCGTCGACTTTATTTAATATTTCCCCACTCCTGTCATGAATAAATGTAATCATTTCATGCGTCTGAGTCTAATAGCTTTAAAATATGCAAATTTATTTCATTATAGTTTAACTGTAGCATAAGAAATTAAAAAGAGCTGTTGATGTTGCAAAGTTATAACCGCCATAGTAATGGCTGACGAAAAATTCAAATGAATAACTGAAAGATACGATAGAATTAGAAAATCTTAAATTTGTACTAATCAGACAATACCGACCAAAGGCGGTATATAAAAACTCCATAAATCTTTTCATCTTAGCTAAAAACTTATTTACTTCCATACGAAACTGTTCTAGTTGTAAATCATCACTGTGATAAAGCCCTGTGTAGGAATTAGAAACAGACTACGACTTACCGACGATGCCTTACGATTGCCATTGCTATTTTCTCATATTCATTTTCAATTGCTATATCCAGACATGTTTTTTCACTAGAATTACGTAGTGTAATATCGCAGCCATTCTCAAGAAGCAGTTTTGTAACGTCAATTGAACCATTCCTTGCTGCTACATGAAGTGGTGTTTCCTGTAGCGTAAAGCAAAGATATCATCATTTATTTCAGTAAAACCAATTTCTTTTACTCCTGTGCAAGTACGCTAATTCGCAATTGCTGTCCTAGGCTTTTAATGACTATTCTTATCATGAATATCGTGCAGAGATTAGATAAAACTGAATATTACACAATTTCTTCTTACCAAACGTGCATTAATCCGATTGATATGGGCTCCATTCTTAATCAAGAGTTTACCAATCATGGCATAATCTTTTGAAGCAATAAGCTCTAAAGGTGTCGTACAGCTGCCATCTCTATTAAGATTATCATCGTAGAAAAGTACATCGCGAAATTAATTTAAAGTAGTTATATTCTAAAAATGATTCTAGAAATGAAATTATTTTTCGTCAGTAATGACATTATAAAGTTCACTAACCTTTTTTCTACATCGGCACCATATTTTAAGAGCATGGCGGCCGTTCCGATAGAATCATGTATTACTGCTAAATGGAGTGGAGTTCTCGCTTTTTCTCCCAAAGAGTTAATTAAAGACCATGATTTTGAACACAAAAATTGAGCTACAACAAAACGCCCATTTCTATGGCCAATAAACATTAATCTTAAATATATTATCAATCTAATAGCACAGTATACAGGCGTATGACAAGTATTTATCATCTAGCTGCTAGACATGTGCTTCATTTTTAATTAAGAAATAGAAAGTATCTATTCGTTGAAAAGCTAATTTAAGATATCCAAGTTAAAAATTTCAAAGTTTATTTTGAAGAGCAGCAAGCTTCTAGATCATAGCGAATCAATTTATAAAATTATCGCTAGATTTTACTCTACTTATGTATTTCTCACTAAGATATTTATCTTACTTGCATGCTACATGCAAGGGTGTATTATCATCATCATCATGTACATCTATTTTGGCACCTTGCTGGACTAAGTATTCAACAATCTAAAATTAAATAAAAACAATTACATAAAATTTTGTGTTTGATATGTCTAGAAATGTCGGTTAATACTAGATATAAACAGTATAAAATGATAATTTTATTTAGCAAAGTAATCTGCATATATTGATCAATTTTTATCCTGAAATCTGCTTTTGTAGCAAAATATCAAATTAGTGCTGAATTTTAAGTAGTAAAATTTTAAAAGGGCCATAATAAATTGAGTAAAGGAAGAAATAGAACGGACTAGAGTGTAATCACAAAGCTTTACTAACTACTGTAATAAGGTTACAGTAAGCACATGCAACTTGATAACGTATGCTTTAAATACAAGTGAGTGAAAGTCTGTCCATTATAAAGGTGATAGAATACCATTCTGACAGGTCTATCAAATGGTAATACTATCTGTTAAATGAGCACATTATC